TTCATCTCTGGACTGGAACGTGCCCCATAAATTAAAGTCTTAAGTTCCAGCAGCTGTTTCCCAAACATGCCAGGAGAGACCAGGCAGATCTGGGCCAGGACGGCAAGAGGGCCCCTTCCCGGGGTCCTGGGTGCAGGGGAGCTTAGTGGGGGGCGGGCTGAATCTCCAGGAAGGGCTCTCAGGGAGGCTGCCTGAGTCTTTAGCTCTTCACAAAGTCAGGCTGATAAAGGTCAAGCCACAGCCGTATGACCTCTGGGCCATGCGGGGGTGGTGCAGCTGGCTCAAGGAACATGAGTGAGCGGGTGTGCGGGAGACCCCCACCCCCCATGCCTACCTGGCCAGGCTCAGCACCGAGGGAGGGGGCAGCATAGGACATGAAGACCCAGCACCTGGAGTGGCTCAGGCCCCAGTTTCTAAACATGACCATAGTCATTAGGACTTTCACACCCGCCCACCACCCAGGTCCACTATTCCCAGGCCTCAGAGACCCTTCCTCCCAGAGGAAACATAGGAAGCTCCACCCCTCGGCAGCGGGGCCTCCCCGGCATGACTGATGGGTGGACGGATGGACAGACAGGACGGCTTTACTGCAGGTCTGCCCTGGCTGTTCTGCCAGGGGAGGGGTGATGCCCAGGAGGCATAAACATGCGCCCTGTTCCTGAGCGTGACCCGTGACTACCTTGCCCGCTGGCCCCCACGTGGCACTCCCTGCCCTTTCTCACTGTGCTCTGGCCGCGTGGGCTCCCTGGAACCCTCAGTCTCTGCTCACATACTGCCCAGCAGGGATGCCAGGCCAGCCTCAGCCCTGCTGCCGCCGGCCACTTGTTCTGGTTCTCACCTCCATTCTCCAGTGGGACATTTCCGGTCTCACTCCACTTGACCTCAGTGCACATCCTTGGGCTCTAGTCACCGTCCTCTCTGGTGCCCCTTCCCGCCTCGCTCCTTCTCATCCTTCCTCTTGCCCAGAACTCCTCACCTGTCACATGAACCCTGCTTCTGCTTCACTCTTGCCCTTCTGTCCTTGCTTGGTCCCTCTCCAGGGATGACTTTGTGACCCTCAGTGGCACCCCAGGCTTGCTGACGCCCACAGGGCNGGGGTGGGCGAGGACACCTGTGGATGTCGAGGGCCTCCAAGCCACCTCAGCTACTCCCAGGAGTCAAGGACACTCTTGGAAAGCTCACCTCAGCAAAGTGCCCCTGGATGCTTCCTCCCCAGAGGCCCGGGCTTTACAGAACCTGAACGCTCTAGGGCCTCTGGGGCCAATGCTGGATGTGACGTTGGTGGCGCATGGAGCGCCAGCCTTCACCCTCTCCACTGGGCCATCTCGTATAACTTCGTATAATGTATGTTATACGAAGTTATCGACCCCTCACTTGGTAG